CCCCTAAAGCCTAAACCCTGGCCCACATTGCCGACTTCGTTCTTCGTGGTTCCTGCGGTCCCTAACTCAGAAGTGAAGTTTTGCTGAAGCTGAGCCGGAATCCGCAAACCTTACACCCTGAGCTCCCGACAGCCAAGTATGTGCATCACTACCCCCATCTATGACAACGAGGACCCTCATCTAGGGCCAATTCGAAGGGGCATAGTGCCATGAATCGGCCAGCTGAAACCAAAAGTTGTTTGCTGAAGTTTCTTAAGCTGTGGGTTTAGATGAAATTGCTGAGATGCTATCGGTTTGGTGGAAGGCACTCTGTGGTCGTCTTGCCTCCGTCCCGGGCTGTCACCCCGGACGAATTACTATTTTGTATGCCCGTGGAACGTCTGGCGAGGTCGTTATTGAGCTGCTGCTTTGGATCTGATGCTTCGGGACCTGATCCAGGGTTTCCGGTTAAGGTTCAGGGCTATTTGGCATTCTTGACCTTTCTGGTGAGGGTCCAGCCTGAAGTCTTGGCAGCAGCTTATTTGCCGATGCAGTTACGGCGGCCGCTTGCATTACTGGGGCTTGGAGACAGGCTGTTGCCCCACTGCAAGGTCAGGACGATTTCCACACTTTGCCACACTTTGCTTTCGCGGCTGCGGGTCCAGTATACAGGTTACGCGGCCTCGGAGTTTCTGTGATGGGCTCGAAGGAAACGTGGGAACGAAAAGGTGGGCCAAGAGATGCTACTGCCACAAGAGATGCTACTGCCACTACGATGGTGCTGGTCATGATGATGATGATGATGATGGTGACTGCTGCTGAATGCCGCTGTGTTGCTGCTGCTGCTGCTGCTGCTGCTGCTGCTGCTGCTTCTGCTGCCGCTTCTGCTGCTGCTGCTGCTGCTGGTGATGAAGAAGAAGATGATGATGATGACTCTCACAATGATGCTGCTGAAGATGCTGCTGTTGCTGAACGATGCTGCTGCTGCTGATGATGATGATGATAATGCTGATGTTGATGCTGATGCTGATGCTGATGCTGATGCTGATGCTGATGCTGATGATGGTTATGATTCATGATGATGAGAATGATTTTGATAATCATGGTGGGGCAGAAGTAGAGCCATGACCATCGCCAAACTTATCCTTATCTTCATCAGTTTCAGCAGCACTTCTGAGCTCGCACGCCACCACCGCCACCGCCGCCGCCACCACTACCATCATCATCCTAAGCATCTTCATCATGGTCAACATTCGCGTCGGCATGATCGTCCTTTGTTGCCTCATACTCTTGGTGTAAAGTTAGTTATAGTCTTAGTTGTTACTATTGTCACGCCGCCGCCCACACCACCATCATGGTGCTCATCAGCCTTATTTCTTGATCTTCAACCTTATGCCATTATACGGTATTCGTTGTCGTCTTCCAGCAAGGCAGCTTCGTGGCGTAGATCCAGTCACCCCCCCCCAACGGATAGGACTGGAACCTAAACTGCGCTCTTATACATTCGTTTAGTCTAAGTTGCCATAGTAAGGAAGCCGTCTTATTTACCATGGATCCCCATTGAGGTTCCAAGAATCAGGTTCCTGAACAAGAACCCGGTAAAGCCTGGATGATTTGCTGGCATCCAAGTTGTACTTACAAGGCTGAGGACCTGAAACCCTAAACCCTAAACCCCTAAACCCTAAACCCCAAACCCTAAACCCTTAAACCCCTAAACCCCTAAACCCTAAACCCAAGTAATCTTCGCTGACTGGAATCCCGACCCTAATCCTGAGAGCCCGAAGCTCACACCCTAACTCCGTAACCCCTAAGCCCCAAACCCAAACCGCTGCCTACGCTTTTGAAACTTATGGGTTTAGGGTTTAGGGTTTAGGGGTTTAGGGTTTAGGGTTTGGAATCCGTGAAAACGCCGTTAGCTGAACCTGAGCCCTACCCATAGGCCCCATAGTTTCCTTTTTGGGATTACCTTATAGGATTCTAAATATGGACCCCAAACAGGAACTACTATGGGGTCTATGGGTATACTCATCATCCTGGAGACGCGAACCCCCAACTTCAAGCCCAACCGCACGCAGCTCTTGGTGTCTGCCCGCAATGTGGGGTGGCCAAGGTGGTGAGGTTTACTCTAAACCGTAAGCCATAACCATAAGCGCGAAACCCCTGAACCCCTAAACCCAAGGACCCTGAACCCCTACACCCTATAAACTCTAAACCCTAAACCGCTGAGCCCAAACCCCCGAAGCCCTAAACCCCCAAACCCTGGTTTAAACCCTAAACCCCTCAACCCTAAACCACTAAACCACTAAACCCTAAACCCTAAACCCTAAACCCCTCAACCCTAAACCCTAAACCCCTAAACCCCTGAACCCCAAACCCTAAACCGCGCGGGGCTGTTGGGAGTCGGACTTTGGGTTTCTGCACCGCTTCTCCAGTTTGGAGTTTAGGGTTCAGGGTTCCGGGCTTGTGGTTTAAGGACGGTTTAGGGTTTAGGAGTTTAGGGTTTAGGGTGTAGGGGTTTAGTGGTTTAGGGTTTTGGGTTTAGGGTTCAGAGCTTGTGGTTTAAGGACGGGTTAGGGTTTAGGGTGTAGGAGTTTAGGGTTTAGCGTTTAGGGTTTAAACCAGGGTTTAGGCATTTAGGATTTAGGGGCATGGTAAGAAAGTGTTGAAGCTTGTTTCTAGAACGCCGTCAATGTTAAACGTGCCATGCTGTGAATGACAGACATGGCTCTGGCCGCCCTGGCCCTGTCGACGATGCATACATCAAGTCCCAGTAAGCATCGAACCAATTCGAGACAAAGACCATATTTAAGCAGAATTAGCCTGGTGAGCAGATTCTTGCTGTGATGGGACGACAAAGCAGAACCTCTGAAAAGATCATAAAGAAGTTGTCGCAGATCCTCGATCTTCCTTCAGGAACCGAAAATGCACCAAGTGGTGGAGGCTTGAATTAGGGTTCGGGTTTAGGATTGAGCAGCTCCGTTCCCAGAGTGCCCGCTTCCCCTCAATTAAGAAATATACCTTACATCGTAATATCCTGCCCATTTTCATTGAAGGCATGCTCCAGCCTCAAAGGATTTACCTTCAATCCTAACATCATCACGCCCCTGACTATTTAAGGTATCTTCCGTAATGAAGGTCCTAAACTCCAAACCCTATGGCAAATTTAAGGCATCCTCCGTATTTAGGGTGTAATGTAGGGGCCTTTCATGCTTGGAATAGGGTTGTTGGGGCAAATATGTTGCTGTAACTATCAAAAGGAGCCCTAAATAGTATTGGTAATTATTCCGACCCCAAACCCGAGACCCTAAGCCCTAAATCCTAAACCCTAAACCCTAAACCCTAAACCCTAAACCCTAAATCCTAGACCCTAAATCCTAAATCCTAAACCCTAAACCCTAAATCCTAAACCCTAAGCCCTAAACCCTTAACCCTATAGAAGCTCTCTGGGTTCCTCCGAGTCCGACGACCACGGCGGCCTCTTTCGGGGTGGCTCTTTCGCCGGCTGCGCACCTGAAGGCCTCTCGGGGGTCTCTTTTGTTTAGGGTTTAGGGTTTTGGGGTTTAGGGTTTAAGGTTTAGGGTTTAGGGTTTCGGGTTTAGGGTTTAGGGTTCAGGGTTTCGGGTCGAGGGTTTAGTTTAGGTAAGGTTTGGGGGTGCAGGGAGGGTGATGGTGCGGGTCCGGGTTTAAGGTGCTTACGTAAGCTCTGCAGCATTGTCACATCTCACCCTTAAGTTGAAACCCACAGCTCTAACTGTTAGACATAGAGTCATTAGAGTTCCTTAGATGGATCCTCATTGTTGGTGGGTTTTGGGACCAGGGCTGGTTAATCAGGTTCCTACATTACGCTTAAGCCCTTGTCCCCTGGACCCAAAGTCGAACATAGATTTCGGAATAATTTGCGGTTTAGGGTTTAGGTCGATTTGCCTTGAACCCGCACCTTAGTAGCTGGACCTCCGCAGGCCCTTAAGTAGGATTCCGGGAAGTCTTGCGCAGCACCGGCATGATCATGGGCTTTGGGCTGGGTGTGACCGCATGACAGTATATGGGTAGTTCTTTTTGTCAGGGTCCCTTTAAGGCCTTTTTATAAGGGTGCCATACTATATTGGGGACCTGAAAAGGGACCCCGTTCAGAGAACTACCCATGTACCCTTGAACTCTGCCCTTGAAGTGCAGATATAAGAGCTATTGTAAATACTCAGTCTATACTTTACGGGCACATGGGCCGTTAGGCCTTATATAGCCGGACCCAGGAATGCCCAACCGCAGTTGGCTTCAGTCACCCAGTTGGGAGGCTTTGATTCTAACGGGTCTAGGGTTTACGGTTTAGGGAATGATATGTCGCGTTTGAGCCCCAGTATCGGGATCAGCTCATCAGTTTTGGGGCACGATAGCGAAGGGCAGAGGCTTTACATGTCGGTTGTTTGTAAGGGCAGTGGGAATGCAGATGCCCAAGCAGGTCAACCAATGGCGCATAGTTTCATGTTGTAAGCACCATCATGGGTATCCCTCAAAGCTCACCTCAACCATGGAATCTAGGGAGGACCATCAGCAAGTAAAAGTGCCGAACGTCGCTTGGAGCTTGAGGCGACATGTGTTGAGACGAAATGGCAGGCTTGCTAGGAAGGATGCCGGATGTATCAGCGCTTGAGAATGTACGTTACAGCCGAGCTTGAAACTCAGTCGAGTTTATCCTAAGTTTTAAACCGTCCACTCCATCCCTGTCTAAGCCCTAAACCCTGAACCCTAAACGCGAGATCGTCACACACTGACAGGTGGCTCAAGGCGTGGACATGATGTGCAGCACTAGCCCCGGAACCTTCTGTGACCTAGAGCTCAGATTTCCCCTAAGAAGGATCCAGAATCCCCAATGTGCGGCATCACGTTGCTACCAGAACCCGGAGTACCCAAGTCATCCTTAACCCAGAGCTCCACTACCTAAACCCTAAACCCTGAAACGTAGTCCACCCGTCGGAAGTTGCTTTTTCAAGTCCCACCCTCCGCGCTGGCTGGCGACAACTGCCATGCTGCGCGTCGTTCTGCTGACTGGTGAGCCAGCCACCCGACTGGCTCGACGATCCTCCTTGGGGCATAGGGTTTAGGGTTTAGGGTTTAGGGTTCAGGGCTTGGGCTTTAACATAAGAGCCTAAATAGTTACCAATAGTATTCTTAAGGCTTCCTTATTATAACTATATTATTCAGAACCCTAAACCCTAAACCCCAAACTCTAAACCTTTGAAACTTCTGGGGCAGTGTAGGGCTGAGAATTGTTCAGAAGCTCCCCGATCTGAGATCTCGAGTTTCCCCACGGCATGAAGCCGAAACCGTGCGAACTCGAGCCTGCCGTGGTCTAGCCTCAAGGGCCTTCAGGGTTCAGGGTTTGGTGCTTTAGGGTTTAGGGTTTGGGGTTTGAGGGTTCAAGGTTTGACCGAAGACCCTAAACCCTAAGCCCAAAAACGGTTCACATCTGAGGTGGCCACGTTCGATGACGAGGATGTCGCGCTTTTGGGCCCCAGCTTGCCTTGCTTCACATCCTCCCTGTGGCCTGGACGAACAGGGCTAAAGGGTTTAGAGGTTTAGTGTTTAAGGATTCAGGGGTTTTAAAGGTTTAGGGTTTCGGGATCATGCAAGGGTTCGACCAAGCTTATCATAAGGGTTGCTCTAAGGGATACTAGAATGGTGTTTATATTCGGGTTCGGGCAGGGTTTCTTGGCTGTTTGCGCGCTTCGCATCCTGAACGAGTCGGCTGTCTTGAACGGGGTTTGCAGGTTAAGGGCCTGTGCAGCCATAGTGTAGCCTCTATAAATCTTCGTTGGGCTGCTATGAAACAAGTGCTTCCAATCACGGCCCTGCTGTTTAGGGCAGCCCCAAATCGGTGACCTGCGGTGGTGAGAAATCGATCCAAACCCTAAAGCCTAAAGCCTAAACCCTAACCCCTAAACCCTAATCCCCTAAAACTCGTGTTTGCTTCGTTGAGATGCCACAGAAGCACACAGCTCCGCTGCAGGCCTTAACTTGCAATTCAGATTCCAGCCTCATTTCCAAACCCCGAAAACCCCAAGAGTTTAAGATCCTGAAATCTTAACCCTAAACCCTAAACCTTAAACCCTAAACCCTAAACGCTGAACCCTAAACCCTAAACTCTAAACCCTTAACCCTTAAAACAAAATCCTAAACCCTTGTCTTATGAAGCCCCCCAGAAAAGGGTCCCCTCAATTTAGGAAGCTCTTCCAAAGGGCCCTCGACCCTAGGCCCAAAACTTTTTGGCCCAAAAACATCTCCGCAAGAGTGATAAGGTCTGCGAAAATCCCACCAGCCGAGCCTCAAAAACCTGAGCCTACACCCCAAACCAAACCTAAACCCTAAACCCTAAACCCTAAACCCTAAACCCTAAACCCTAAACCCTACCTAAACGGCAAAGCCTCAAACCAGGAAGAAGTATTTGCAGCCTCTTCTCGGGGCCTCCGCTTGCAGGCAAAGGCTGTTGTGTGACTCGGCCTCAGGGTTTCACATATTGAGGGTTTAGGGTTTAGGGTTTAGGGTTTAGGGTTTAGGGTTTAGGGTTTAACCTGCCGAAACCCCTTTTTGTGTGTAGGGTCCCTATAGTTTCCATATGGGGGTTTCCGACAATAGGGGACCCTAACATAGAACCCTAAATAGTAGGATCCTTATTATGAGGACCCCAGAATAAGGTCCTAATTTTCGGAAACTTTCATATTGGGGTTTATAATGAGAGCCCCCCAAAAGCAGGTGCTGGCAGTGCCAGGAAGGGTGTAGGGTTCAGGGGATAGTGGTTGAAGGTTTAGGTGGGGCTTGTTTTTATTTGTATAGTCTTGCGGTATCACGTCTTCATTACCATATCTCCAGGTTCTCTGTTATCAATATATTAGTTTTCTTGTTCTTGCCATATGGTCATGACCGGACCATGCGGTTTAAGACCTTTCAGGTCTTTGGGTGTACATACATACTATAGAAGCCTAAATAATTACCAATATCATTCCTTAGGATCCTTATTATACTTATATATAAAGGAGCCCAAAACCCTATTCTTGGTATTAGGGCCCCTGCATTACAGCAGCCCTCCTGGGTTTCGGGTTTGCATCGGGTGTGTGCGCGTGCGGCAGTGGAGCTTCAGGGCTTAGTGAAGGTCACGGAATGTAGCAAGCAAAGCATAATACAGAGGGGGTGCTATAATTAGAAGAGGGTTCTTTGGTAGTTTATCGCATCTTTGTAGGAACACCTCCAAAGAGACATGGCCATCCACTCGGTAGGATGTGATTTCCGTCATGAGGCTTAGAGCTACTCCTACGCCCCTAAACCCTAACAAGGAGTTCGGAACTGAAGCGTCGCGCCAGGGTGACCCTGCTACATGGACCCCCTGACGGTTTAGGGTTTAGGGTTTGGGGTTTAGGGTTTGGGGTTTAGGATTTAAGGTTTGGGGTTTTGGGGTTTAGGATTTAGGGTTTGGGGTTTAGGGTTTGGGTTTTGGGTGTAGGGATTAGGAGCTGCAGCCGAGGCAACGGAACAGTGCTGTTTGACGATTGCTCGCCGCTCCTCTCGCACCCAACACCCTGAACTCCCAGAGACTCCTAATATAGGGGCCTTAATAATTACCTATATTATTTTGGGGGCTCCTTTTTTATAATTACAGTGGCCCCTATAGTATTTTGGGGGCTCCTTTTTATAATTCTAGTATAAGATACTCCAGAACTCTATTCTAACTATTACGGCCCTTGTAGTATTTTGGGGGCTCCTTGTTTATAATTACAGTATAAGATACTCCAAAACTCTATTCTAACGATTACGGCCCCTATAGTATTTTGGGGGCTCCTTGTTTTAATTCTCGTATAACATACTCCAGAACTCCATTCTAACTATTACGGCCCTTGTAGTATTGTGCTAGGCAGTTGAGGGTGTAGGAGTGCTCCAGAGGCTCTCCGGCTTGGGAGTGTAGGGTTGGGAAGGGTCCCAAAGGTCAGGGATTTTTGATGAGGGGTTAGGGTTTTCGGTTTGGGGTTTAGGGTTTAGGGTTTAGGGTTTAGGGTTTAGGGTTCAGAACTGCGAAGGCAATTTGAAGTCAGAGTTTTTGTTCTTCCCTTGCCCGTGCTGCGCCAACGCCTTGCTTTTGAGCCAATCGCCACTGTCACAGCAGCGTAGGGCTGAGGAGAAGTTGGAGCATCCGGGTTCAACACCACCGATCACCTTCAAAAGCATCGGACTTGTCGTGCCTGCGCTTCTGCTCACTGAAGCCTTAAAGCCGCAGACCTACGGGAAACTCCGAAGTCAATGGGGAAACCCTGAACCGAGAATCCCAAAGCCACAACTTGACACCCCGAAGCACATGGAGCCGTGGGGAAGCAGGTGATAGGATGAGTTTGAGCCTTGCTGACTTAGCTTAGCATTGCATTATGTTTGTAGGCCCGAGCGAGGATTTGGGGACCCAGTGACTTATGTCGACTTAGGCTAGTAACAGAGGACGTGCAAAGACAGTACAGAAGCCGCAGCAAAGACGTAGAAAGGCCCTTGTACTCTCATCTCTGAACCCGAAGCCCTAAAGCCCTGAACCCTCAAACTTGCATCCCCCCAAACCCTAAAAAGCTTGAAAAGAAAACCTAAACCCTTATCCCGAAGCCCCTACAATACGCTTAAATTAGGGAGCCCTCTAAGAGAAGCCGTCAACGACAAGCCCAACACCCATTGTAGGGGCTTGAATCATGAGAGTAGGCAGCGAAACCATATAGGGACTATGATTCCGACCGTCATAGCAAGCCTCCAGAACCCTTGCATCAAACCTTCACAAAAACCCATAAAAAGAACCCTTATCAAACCTAGCTATTCCGACCCCTATATCAAGCTTCCTAAACTCCGACCCCTTCTTGTATCCCTGAAAGGAAGGTTAAACCTAGACTCCTAGACCCTAAACCCTAAACCCTAAACCCCTAAACTCCTAAACTCCTAAACTCCTAAACCCTAAAACCCTAAAGCCCTCCAGGACTGCCCACTTCATCCCATCTCCCTTCTTGCGGTGGCTCCTCG